AGGAAGGAAGGAAGGAAGGAAGGAAGGAAGGAAGGAAGGAAGGAAGGAAGACAAAAACAATTTTATGTACTAAACAAAATTGGTCTTATGTGTATATTCATGTCCTGTTATACAATTAAATTATTAAGCTTTAAACCAGTTCACTTTACAATAGGAAAAAATAGGTATATAAGGATATAAACTGGTATAAATGGTCCAGATTTCTGAGAATTTCTCCAAATGGGACTCCTAATGGTAAGATGCTTGTTCAAATATGGAAAGAGGGGCAAGTTCTTGGGACCATTTTAGACATTCTTCTGGCCTGTCTTCTGAATTTTGAAGGCACAGGGCAGGTCACCCACGTGTGTGCCAGGCAGGGGAAGGGGGGCAGATTCATACGATATCTGCTCCCTTATCTACTCCACTTCTGAAATATATGTCTCACCTGGCATGAAAATGGTCAATTTTACAAGGATAAAACATGCATGCAAATATCCATTAGACTTGAGAAATGGGCCTTTCAAAAATGAAACAGGTGGAAGGAATACTGAATATGCTTCCTAAGTGTTTCACAATTTCACCTTTTTTTCTTCCAGATTGTCATGTTCTGTTCATGTGACAATGTTTAGAGCAACCTTCCTCAACCACGTGCCCTCCAGATAGCTTGGACCAGTGTTTCTCAACCTTGGCAACTTAAAATTTAAAATTAAATTTAAATTTAAAGAAAACTTGTGCCCCACAAAGCCTTAGAATCCAAGCCCCATCTATGTGCACGATGCACTCCCATCACTTTGCATCATCTTGCGCAATGTTTCTCAACCTTAGCAACTTTAAGATGAGTGTTCTTCAACTCCCAGAATTCCCCAGCCAGCAAGCTGATTCTTGCTGATCTCTTAGCTTTCTACAGTCAGGATTTTGTCAAAATGCAGGGGAGCATGTTGGGAAATTATCAGTCATGGAAACCTCTGCTTGTATCTGAACGATATATTATTACTCCTAGGAACTGCACTTCATCTTTTTGTTCTGAACAAAGATTAGCTCTTATAGATAGTTCTCATTTAGCAACTGCCTCGGACAGTGACCATTTGCAGTTATGACAGTGATGAAAGATCACTGATAACTTTGCTATCAGTTCTCGCATTTACAACCTTCGCAGGTTTGTAAAGCAAAGGAAAGCTGAAGTAAGATTGTAAGCACAGTCACGGTTTCACTTAGCGACTATTTCATTTAATGACCAAGTTGCTGGTCCCAATTGTGGTCCTAAACAAGGACTACCTGTATAGCTAAACTAGAAATAGCAGGTGTCCCTCAGCAAGTTCTCTAAGAGCTTCCAAATGCATTTACCAGCTGCGCAGTAGAATGGTCAAGGGATACTATTTTGTAGTCCAGGACTCACTGACTGATACAGCAATATATTAAATACCAGTGAAGTTCTAGTAATGCCTTGGCAAGAGAAGCTCATTTGGGTAGCTTCAGTTCTATGACTGATCTTCCTAGAACACAAGGGCAAACCTTTTGCTGCTGATCACAACCCTCTTGTCTAATCAAGCTTCTAACTGGTTATGCTGGCTTATGGCTACCACTTAAAACAAAGGCTGTACATTTGGGTAACTGTCCTTCAGCCATCTGGTTTCTGTCTTCTCCCATCCTCCCTCTCCCCATTTAATAGGTCTCCATCAAGCTAGGCCGTTCCCATTTCTGTGGTGGCAGTTTGATTGGTGATGATGTGGTGGTCACTCGTTGTGTTGTGGATCTTGATCTGTAAGCTCTACTTTATATAACTTGCTTGGAGAGGAACCAAAAGCAATTGAAGAAGATGCCTGGTTACTTGCCTGCTGAGATATGGTGGCAGCTTATGGAGTAGTGTGTGCAAAATGCTTGTGGAATCTGCAAGCAAAAATGTAAGCTAAGGTTGAAGGGAGGAGGTGTTAGTGCAGTGTTTTTTAACCTTGGGAACTTTAAGATTCTGGGAGTTGAAGTCCACACATCTTAAAGTTGCCAAATTGCGTTAGTGTATGCAGGGGTTCAGCCTGTGAGTGATTGAGGGGAGGCTGGGAAAGGAATGGAAGAGAGAGCAGACATAAATGGCATAAATGACATAAATGGCAGTTTAATCCAGATGGAAAGAAATCTGGGGAGAAGCATTTCAATCATTCAAAGACTTTCTACCATAATGAGGTAATTATAAATGAGGCTGAGAAATTCCTCCTACAGTTTCCAAGATGTCAAGACTAGCACTGAAGAGACCTTACTGAAATCTGTGTCATTCTTGTTTCTTTGATCTTGTCCAGCTGTGTTGGCAAGATCAAACTAATGCTGTAAGTACTAAAGGTGGCTTGCCTATTTGTTGTGTGTCTGTGCAACCGCAAGTGCACTTGAGGCAAAATCCTGCTGCTGCACACTTCTCACATTCAAGTGGCTTTAGCATAGCTCCTGACTAGGTGTCCTCCAGATGTGTTGCAATTGTAACTCTTATCATTCCAATTTCTAAGACAGAAGCCTTGGAATTCTGGGAATTCTGGCTAGAACTTCTGGGAGTTCCAAACCTAACAGGTGGGAAAGGCTCTTAAGTCCACGAGAGCTGATGACAAAAATGAATTTCCTAATAGGTTTCAGTCAATTAATTTGGCGATTATGGTACTGAATTTGCTTGGTAGCACCTCTGCAATTTGGGGGACTTTTCTCCAATATAGAATCAAGGAATCATAGGTCTGATTTTACTATATTGGAAATATACTTTGTGCAAAGGCCAGTTGCCTGAATGATTATTCTTTCCACTCTTTTCTAGAAAAGTTGTGAAGAATCTGATTGTGACTGTTGGTGAATTCAATCTTGGCAGGATGGATGAAGAAGAACAGAACGTCCCAGTCTCTGAAATTGTTGTCCATCCTGACTTCAACAGATCTGAGTATATGGATTTAGGTATAGCGTTGCTGTATTTGAAACACCATGTACCATATGGTAAGAAGAGACTTGAGTGAAACACTATTACAGAGAATGGGGGGAGATAGGAGGCTTAAGTATATGCCAAAAATGGGAAATGCTTGGGGGAGGAGGGCTGAACTCAACCTCCCAACCTTTGGGAGAGCCTGTGACATCACTAGAAGGAGTGTTGCCAAGATTTCTTGGGAAGGGAGTTAAGGGTAGGGATAGGAATGAGAGGCTTTCTAGGGGCAAACTGTTCTCTGGGACCTAGGAACAAACTTTTGATTCTTTATTGGATCCTTTTTCAAAAAGGGAAAAACCTGGAGATCAAATGTGAAAACTTCCACATGCAGCATTGCTGTACCACTGAGCTATTCTTTGCGGACAAAAATGCAGAAATGAAATCTTCTGTGTGAAATTCGTGGGTGTTCATCAAAACAAAACACTGTTTAAATATTGCCATGTGTATTCCCTCTCTTAGGCTATGAAGTACACCCTATCTCTCTTCCTCACAAGGAAGATGTATTTGAAGCTGGAACACTCTGTGTGGTGAGTGGATGGAGCAAGGTCTCCGAAGATGAGTATATGATCCTCAGTTTCATACGGTGAGTAGCATGTGAAGTTTGCTGTTGACTTGCTTTTTAATTATTGTAGTATGAACCTGTAGAGCTATAAGACTTAGTATGACTTACTATTAGCTTTGCTGCGTAGAGTTGCTGGAAGTTACAATACAGGACCTTATAAAGCCCAAGTTCTCCGCCATACTGGATCCCACTTTCTCTCCTATAATCTCATGGCTTTTCCTCATTAATGAAGTGAAATGCACTTTGCCCATCCTTGAATCAGCTGAAAGCTATATCAGCACGGGCTATCTCAGTGCTACTCCCCATCCTGCCTCTATTGCCTCTGTTTGAAGTCACAGTGGTCACCTGGCTTCCCTCTACGGTAATGGGAGGCCAGGCCTACCATGTTTTACATAGTTTGAAGTTACTGCTGGACATTGTTAGCTGAAGGAGTACATAAGACTGTCTCACACATGGACCAGGAACAAGATAAAGGTAACATCATGAGAATGATGGAAAAGAGACTTTGGCTTGATGTGCTTATTCCAAGATTTAAGTGCAAGTGGGAAAGGCCCTCAGTCATATTTTGTTTTATGGGGTCTTTTACTCTACATCGCCATCCTCAATATGAGCATGAGTTAATAACAGCCTAATCCAACACCTAGCCATCTGGAATAATGAGTGTGTTAGGGATTGTGTAGTCTATCAACCCAGTTGGGAAGAGCTTGAACAATCTTGCTACTCTAGCACCCTCCAGAGGTGTTGGACTGCAGGTTCCATGACCTCTAGCCCTTGTGGTCAGTGAGCTATGAGAGATGCCATTAATCTTCTTTGAAGGGAAGAAGATAGCTCTTCAAAGCTCCTCTTCAGATAGGAGACTGCTTGGAGCTTTGAAGTTTCCTTACCAACTATAAGAGGAGAGAAGATGTATTTGCCCAAAAGGCTTGAAGGAGGTAGAGTGGATGTAAAGGAAACTGTAGCTCTCTAGACTTTCAACATGGAGGAAAGTTCTAAGGTACATTGGCTATTTTAACTAGGAGAGTGGAATGATCTTGGCTGGGTAATCTTAAAGTGTCTTTCCTTGAGGTGGATGTATAAGCAGCCTAGATTTCTGCACTGAGAGAAGCAGCAGTTTTGGGCACTGTTTTTCAACCTTGGCAACTTTAAGATGCATGGACTTCAACTCCCAGAATTCCCCAGCCAGCATGCCAAAGTTGCCAAGGTTGAAAAACAGTGCTTTAGGGAGCTTGCCTTCTTCAGGACTAATGGGAAAGTCTATTGATATAGATCTATGTTCCAACAGTAAAGAAAGTGCCATTGAGAAATCCATGCTGACCCTTAATTAGCATTTTGAAACAAAGGGATTTTCCTTTTACCATGAGCCATTACTTCTATTTTAGAAAGTCATAATCAAAAATTTACATTAAGCTGACAATTTTAGGGCATCAAATTTTATACTAAGATTTTTAATATAAAAATTATTGTTTACATTTTACATGTTTAATGTAAACTTAAAAATAATGATGATTTACTGCCTGAATATTACCACCTGCCCTATGGAACAAAATACCCCACAAGATTAGGATGGCTGTGAGCATTGGGCCAGGATGTTGAGTGAGCCATCCTTATTATCTTGTGCTAAAATGTTATAACCTGATAGATGTCTTTCCCTTTTTATCTATTTTTTTTCATTTGAATTTTGTGAGCCACCCAGAGTTGTATATGAATGGGCAGCCATATAAACTGAATAAATGAATAAATGAATAAAATTAATGTTCCTTATAGCCATTTCTTGGGGTTTTTTAATTGCTATATTAAAAAGTCATTTGGAATGTAAAGATGTTGTCTGGGTATAAATGTCACAATATTTGTTTTTTTAAAAAATGACTTTATTACATTTTAAAACAAACACAGTAAAAACTAACAAGAACTGATATTAAAGAAAGAAAGTAAAAAGAAGAAAGAAGATTAGAAAAGAAGAGTAGTCAAGATCAAAAGTGCAGAAAACAAGAAAAAGAAAAGAAAAAAAATGATTTCTGACCCTCCTTGCAACAGATGTGAGTAGCAATATACATCAAACTCTTGTTTTAAGTTTATAACATAACTGTCATTATTTCTATTTACCCATAGTATTTCTAATCATCAAATCCATACAACATCATTTCATTTTTTTCTGTTTCCTGCAAAAAGTCCAAAAAACGTTTTCAATTAACATTAAAATTACACAATGTCTTTTCTCGAATCAAAACCATCAAACATCACAATGTTTGTTGTTTGTTTAGTTTTATCTGGCTCAGTGTATGGTGTGAACCCAGCCAGTGTGAATTGTTCAACAAACTGTGACTAAAACCAAGTCAGAGCAGATCAAATCAAAACTTTATTATAGTCATTGACCAGAAAGCCTATAAAATAAATAAAATCTGATACATAATGAAACATTTAACAATTTTTAGATGTAAGCAAGGTTACCCAGGGTCATTCTGTCCATTGATGGTGGCCTTCTCATGGCAAATCGATGTCACTAAGTAGCAAAATTTTGCCATAAAATAAGTGACTTTAGGATTTCTATCAACTACAAAGTTACATAAAATTCTCCGGTACAATAAGGAAGACTTTTTTTCTTTTTTACTGATGATTGGATTCCTCTTACATAGGAATAAAAGTCACAGCCTAGAAAAAGATGCTAAATCATATTTTAGTTTGGTAGTGAGGATATGCAGATTATTAGCCTGGGTCTGGAGGCGGCTTTCCTGTTCTGAGATTCCTTGGAAAATATATAGCTTTTGGATCCTGATGAGTTCCTTCCTTCTGCAGCTGGGTCCCTGTCAAAAGTCCTGCAGGAAGTGGAACTTCCCATCCTTGACAGCATAACCTGCAGTGAACTGCTGAAAGCTTTAAATTTGCCCCCGGTATGGAGGTGGATGTTGTGTGTCAGCTTTCCACCTGGTGGAAGAGATGCGTACAAGGTAGAAAATACACCACAAGTGTTTAAAGCACCTCAAAAAAAGAATTTACAGGCTGTCCCAAATACGTTTTATCATTGTTAGGAGGCTCTGTCCCTCATTTCTCATGGCATCATATAACAATGTAATTTTTTTCTAATTAAAGGCAATGCACCAATCACGGTGGAATAATTCCTGGCATTGTATTTCTAGTGATCAGTTGGATTGCCTTGATGAAAATATTGACACTTCTGATAATTTCAAATATTGAGCCATAACTTAATGGCCCCATTCAATGCTGGGATCTAAAGCAGTTGCCTCCTACTTAAAAAAAAAAAGCTAAAAAAGAAGAATAGATACAGAAAGCGTGCTAACAACCTTGGTTTATGTGATACCCTGTTTTACCTCTGTGGTTGAGGCAATCTTGAATTTTGTATATTTGCTGGATGTTTTTGTACATTTGTATGTGGTAGAAGAAGAAGCAGCGCAAGGCATTTTCAACTGACTCCAAGTGCTGTCCAAGCCATACTTTAAATTGTCTATTTCCAGCTGGTGCATCTGGAACCTAACTGCGTCTGAAGACAAGATCATTCTTATGGAATTTATCAAAGTAGACACAGAAGATCAGATTGAATGTGACCATGACTATGTTGCTTTCTATTCAAGCAAGAAGGAATTAATTGGTAGGTGGAAGGTCTCTCTTGTGATTCCTTGTGAAGTATCAATCAAAGATTTAGAAAACGGCCCTTGACTCAGTTGGGCCATTTCTCTATCTAGCCCAGTACATTCAGTTGTGACTAGCAGCTTTTCTCTGGACTGGTGGCTTTTCTGAACTAAAGGAACATTTTAAGGATTGAATCTGGGAAATGTGTTTGAGGAAAAAACCTGCTGTTTCTAGCTAAAGAGCATGCTAGCTGGACATTCTGGGAGTGATAGTCTTAGCATATCTGTACAATGCAAGTCTGTGGAAGATTCCCCTGTGTTGGGGACCAAATCCGTGCAATGGGTAGACCCAAATTCAGTGATAGAAGAGTCTTCTGTTTTCTTCTTCTTTTTCTGCCTTCTCTTTTTTCTCTCTTTCTCTCCTTCTGCCATCTTGCCCTGCAGATGGGTGGGGAGGAAGGACAGTCCTTCTTACCAGATGCCTTGCGGAGGGCTCTGGGGAGAGTGTTGTCTGAACCCAAGAATCCTAACCTTGAGCTACAGCAGTTTCTCCTTTTGTAGCACCTAAAGCTACTATGAGTGGGTCAGTCAGCTGTCAGTGGGGTTTATCTCTTGATTTTATTCTCTTCTAACTGGCAACATCTGTGGTGATGTCTTACCTTCCCCCTTGCTGATAGTCTGACCGAGCCATTGTTATATTTGTGTCTGATGGCAACATTCGTGGCAGAGGCTTTGAATTCACCTTCAGTGCTCTGCATCAAGCATCTGAAGTGGGTAACTTCACCTTTGCCTCTGGACCTCTCTGTGGATGACAGTTGGCTTTCCAGGTGCAGTATGGGGAACAGGCAGCTTCTTGCTCTCTACTTATTCTCAAAAAAGCAGGTCGACATGCTGCCTCCATTTGCATATTTTAAATATATTGGGGAGAAAAAAGAACTTAATATTAATTTATCCAGTTAATAAGGTGCAGTGGATGAATAACACCTTGCTTATTTGCTTCTGTCTCTCTCGCTCCAGTGTTGTAGGCTCTGGCTGTGGCAGTGTTGCAATGCTGGTGGAAGAAGGAAAGATTGACACGGCTAATTACCCTGGCTTGTATCCCAGCAGCACAAAATGCCACTGGCTCATTGAAGCCCCAGTGGACCGTGTCATCAAGGTAATAAGGAGCAATGACCTAGGTTGGAATGCAACCAACTTTCTCATTATGCCTGTGTGGAATCAGGCAGTCATAAATCATTCCTGAGGCAATGATCTTGCTTATCTGTGTTCTCAAAGAACTGAAGTTTGCTTCACATGAGAGCCTTGTCACTGGCAGAGTAAGGCAACTGCCTCAAGCTGATGATTTTGAAGGTCAAGAAGGGGAAATAGATTATTATTTAATTTGATGCTAACTGAATTCTTTTTCTGCCAGACATAGGGAGAGAGGTTTGGAGGATTTCATGCCTCATGGAGCAACGTCATTTGTTGACTTGTTTTACTGTGTTCCTTGATTTGGTTGGGATAGAGTTGTTTGCTATGGTCTCAGAGATGCAGGCCATGATGCTGTTTAAGTAAATGCCCTTCAGATGTGCTAGGGCCACAATTTCCAGAATGTACCACTGGAAGTCTTGGGGGGCATCAGGATGGAGAGTATGTGTATGTGTGTTCTTTGGGGTGAACACTGCTGTTTTCCCTTTCAGTTGGAGCTTGAAGAGTTTGAAGCTGAAATCAGCCAGGATTGTATTTATGATGCTGTTGTTGTTTATGATGACACTGAAGAAGAGCACCAGCTAGGTAATAACTGGTTTGACTTGATAGAATGCAATGGCTGTCTGAAAAGAAAAATGGAAAGAGTCTACCTGGTCCCTCTACACTGGTCTACAGCTCCCAAAATTCCTAAGCAGTGTGGCATTAACCTTGTCTGCTTATTCTTGAAGATGGTATGGATCGGTGTTTGTCAACTTTGGTAACTTGAAGATGTGTGGACTTCAACTCCCAGAGCTAGATGGGGAATTCTGGGAGTTGAAGTCCACATATCTTCAAGTTGCCAAGGTTGACAAACACTGGTGTAGATTATACTCTGAGGGAAATTCAAGCAAAGGGGCAGTGGTGGGGGACAAGAGACAGTAGACTATCCCATAGCCAAGATGTCTGATTTAAAACATTTGCCTGAAGGTGCTTTCTGCCTCCCGAAATCTTGAATCAACCTCGCTGAGGTGATGCAGATTGAGGGAGCTCTTTTGCCCTATTTGAGATGTGGCCCTCATAGAAAAGTACTTCAGTGCTGATGGCAGGAGTTCTATTCCTTTTTTCCTTCTAGCTGTCCTCCGTGGTTTCTCAATTCCTTTTCCTGTGTGGAGCCCTGGGAACATCATGCTGATCCATTTTGAGAGTGATAAGGAAAATAACTTCGGAGAATTCAAGGCCAAGTTTGCTTTTTTCTCTTCAGGTTGGTTGGGGATCTTCCCTTTGACATCTACTTCTGCTAAATAAAAAAAATTGCATGTCTTTTGGTCCAAAGTCAGTGAGAGTGAAGAGAAAGTTAGATAGATTCATTTAACTTTAGGGCCTCACCTGAATGTATAAGTCAGGCTGGGGAACCTCTTGATGGCACTGGATTCTACTTACTATCAACTCCAGGCAAAGGTGAAAGGTACAGCTATAGATTTTATACCACTGACATAAGTAGTCAAAATAGTCTATTGGGGCAGGAGTGTTTTTGCAATGAAATTCTCGTTATCTTTCAGAGCCATCTGCAATTGGACCATTTTGATCCTTACTAGTGAATGCTTTGGGATTATCAAGTGTTTCTGAGGTTCTAAATTGACTTGTACTGTGGAGTGCAATAAGCATTAGCAGCCCCATTTTCAACAATTTATCATGTCCATCATGATCCTTTTTAAAAAAGGCGTTTTTGACAGAACTATGCAAAGAGATACCAAGAGCGAGTTTTTAGGATGCAAGGAAATATAGGCTATTCTCATAAGACATTGTGAATTCTGTTCTGAGTGGAATGTGCAGTCCTTGAGTTTTGTCTGATCAAGGACATCTGAGAGAGAAAAGACCATCTATCTATCTGTTACATATACGTTTTGCAGCTAAGTTGACTTTGGGATCTTGCTATTTCTAGGTTATGTGATGGCCCAGATCTCTGCATTCCTGCAGAAGACCCTTGCATACATCTTATGGGTTATAGAGGTTAACTGTTTCAGGTAGCAAAATGTGTTCAGATGATCCAATCACAGCTGTACCAATAGAAGCGAATATGTGTAGCTCAGGGTTGAACTGTGGAGTCCTTGGGGTTCTCTGAGCTTGGTTGTTTTCTTGCAAATGTTTCATTACCTGGCTAGGTAACATCTTCAGTGCTAGAATGGAAAACTAATAAGTTTATTCTTTTGTTTGTCACTTGTAATAAAGTCCTTCAAAACCTTAACAGAGCTCTTCTTTATATCCAGTAAGAAAAAAATTATCCAAATCAATTTCTTGATTTAATATCTGTACAGGTCCTTTAGGGAATAAGTCATCCACCAGATCCATTTGTGTTACATTTAAGTCCCCCTTCCAAGTAATTTCATAAACATCTGTTGCAATTTGTCCTTGTTCTATAACTTCATTACATGTTCTGTCCATCTTGTCAAGCAATTGATCCATTCTATTAAGAAGCTTAATAGAGAGATATTCAAAAGTTTGCAATATAGATTTCTG